AAAATTGTCCATCTCCCACAATGAAGTTACGAAGCTATATATATCTGCGAGGAGGTAGCGAAGTCATTGTAGACAAATCTTGGGTCTTGGTTTACGGAGGACCGTCACTCTAGTCGGGCGGTACAACTTGAGGAAAGAGGACGTTGTTATGATATGAGACAACGAGGTAGTCGAGGCTAGGGCATCGCGTGTGGCTCAAGGCCACAGCATACATCACTAGTGTACTGGTTAGGCGAACGTGTATATAGTTTCATAGATGTCCTCACAATATATGGATACAGGTTTAGTCTTATACTTTCTGTCCATATACCTACAGCATAATATTGTATGAGTCTATTCACTGTTAACCACAAATCATAACATCATCCACTCCGCAATATGACTTCCGCATAGCTCATAACCACAACAGACGTCGATGGGCCTGTCTGGACTGGTATTTTTAGGAATTTTAAACTCTGACATGTTCGTGGGCGCCAAGGCAAACATCTCGGATACATCTACCAACACTTAAGAAATAGGACGAACTACAATTTTATTTAATGAAATTTTTATGCAGCTATCTAGCCATGACACATTTTAAGTGCTGTATATACATGTTGGATGACTCTTTTGACCCTTTTGACGTTAGAGACACTCATATTCTGGATTTTATTTGCAAGTACCACTATGAGTATGTTTGCTTACACAGACAGTCGACCCTCCTTATTAGGTAGCCGACAAAGGAAAGTTTCAAAACTTTTGTTTATCCAAGCATGCCTTCATCATCTATATAAATTGCACCACGAGAAATGTGGTTGTGTTTTGCCGGATTCGAACCAGCGATCTCCTACCTCAAGTGGGATATGTGTCCAAGCTATCCAGACGCTACTTGACAAACCGGCCAAGACGGTGTACCATCGCACCATCCGACCATGTCGTTGTTTATAGTGTCGCCCGCACCCTCACAATCGAAGTATTAGCGCGCACAATGCCCTTCATTTTGTAAAACTCCTTGCCCAAATCCAAAATCTACCATCTTCCAAAGTTGTATTCACCGCTTGCATCATCTTTTCCACATGTCCAAGCATCTCTCTCGTTCATCCCAAGTAATGCCTCCCAGATTTGTGCGCCACGCTTTGCTTCCTCCGGCAGGTGTAAATATCGGCGAGGACGTGTCTTTGGTGGCCAGCTCAAGGCTACAAATTGATTTGACGAGAGGTGTGGTCATGGAAACGAAGATATAATAGGTCATACTTGAAGACTCGGTGAGGACATGGTGGGAACCTATCTTTCTGGGAGTAGAAATTTGATTTAGCATGGAGTATTTAATCATTGGCTCGCGGGCCAACGTGTTCGGAATTGCGAAATCTGACTCAACTTGGCTCTGGAAGAATATCTAATTCTCAGGTTCGCAGAGGATAGCGCGCACAGATGTTGAGTCTTTGCCCTCCACGCACTACATCTTCTTCGGTGGACGGAGGTGTGAGGAACGACTTTTGTCATTACGACAACGGTGGGCACAGTTCAAAGTTTAGCCGTAGAAACTGATCTCTCCGTAGATAACATTGCGTGATCCAGGCGAGGCGCAGGACGTCGATGCTAGAAAATGAAATCTCTCATGTTTTCCCTAGTCTTTTTGAATGGGTTATGTTGGTAGTATTGAGTCTTTTGAGATGTAGTGGCTATGTCGGGCAAAATCATAGCAGGACTTGTGCCTGGCACCTGAGAGTGGCAGATGAATCAATAACCTGATCGAGTCACGTCACAGGCCACTGCTCTGACGGTTTATTGGGGGGGGACTTTTCTCAACACCTGTCAGCGGTGTCCCCTACGAACCTCCAGCTCTCACTGTAGTGTCTGCAGAGCCGAGATTGAGTAACAAAGTCCTCACTTCGCCGAGGATTCCAAATCGCTTTCGCGGTCTGTATCGTCTTCATCTCTCAACACATTCCCCTATCACCACTATCAAAAAGCTATCCACCATTAGATTAGATGGTAGGGTCGGAGCCCTTCTCATCACCAACCCTTGATCATGGAGTAGAAGCCATCCGATGAGTTTCCGGAGCGTACCCAGCACCCGATACGGCGATGGTGGATTGGATCAAGTCGGCCTCGATTGTTACAAAGAAGGGAGATATAGATGAATATGCGCACCTCATGTAGTCCCAGTGTCTAGGCCTCGCCTGGCTGGGCCTGCAGGTTTTTTGAGCCTTTTTTCCCGCGCACGCAGTCTCCATTGCTACCATTTTTTATATTTTATATTTTATATTTTTGGGTAGAAGGTTCCGTGGAAAAGGTGGCCGAATCCCACGGGTAAATACTGAGCTGAATGGCTATTCATCAAGGGGAATATATCAATGATCTTTCAAGTAACAAGAGGATAGGAGCACTGTACAAGGTGTGGCCTGGGTCAGAGAGGAGCCCAAGGTGCTAGATAGTCATAGACTCAAGTAGCACAATGAGCCATACTCACCCAGCAAAGAAGGCCGCTGGCGACTGTCCGATTTCCATCGAGCTGTGTTGATGTTGTGCCGTTGAGAAGAGACTTGTCGTGGCCGACTACATCATACTCTCGCGTATCTAGACTCTGATCCTAAGGAATAGCTCAAAGGAAGCTCATGATTATACTATGTTACGGTTCAGATCATGAGGCTTAAGCCGCCCACTGCGCAGTAGAAGCTCAGGTATCAGCGATACAGGTAACACTACTTTAAGCCGCACCTACCAGCAACTGACCTTGCGCGTCCCTAAGTCGCCTTTTTTTTGCATCTCTCCAAGTCGCTGTGTGCCTTGTCTGGGGGGGCGGCAATGCGGCTAAGTCTTGGCGTAAGGAGGTAGCCCTCTAATCCTCTAGGCGAATTAGGGACCAAACACTCCCACTTTCTTATTTCCATAAATTCCACCGATCGATGCACTCAAGTCTATGCACGCTTCAGCCCCAGGATTTAACTCCATAGGTGCTGGATTGCAAATGTTCCCAGCTTCTAGAAGGTCTCTACAGATCGATTACACCGGCGTGTAGCTCAGACCTAGATAACAACGGAACTCATGTCGCTTTCAATGACTTTATAGTAGCAATGCTTCTTTTAGTATCACATTGAGTGTCTTCGCCTTTCTCATGCTGAGCGTGGAGAGGTTGACGTAGACTGGGCCCTGAGTTACACTAGTATTCCGGGCGAAGAAATAGTGGACAATGCTACAAGCGGGGGTTATCTATGGGATTTGCATCCGACTTCACTCATACTCCTGCAAGTCCAAAGCACTGACCCATTGCCTACATTTATAAAGCCTCTTCTAAAGGTGCTCCACGCTCCTATCGAGCTCTGAATATCGAGCCTCGACTCCAGGTACCGAATGGATTCTCCGCTGTTTGAACCATCTTCGGCCTCGCATCCTATATTTTCAAATTCAGTAAATTTGTTGCTAATTACCTGAACCGTTGTAGTCTGAAATGACGCTCTGATAAATTGTGCAGCTCTGCTTGGCCTTATTGAAGCTGCCAAATCTTTGATAAAATAGGAGCCTATTCATGCAAGCTAACTCGCGGTAGCGGAGAATAATTAGCACTGTGCATAACAAAAGTATTCACTTTTCTCTCTAACCAGTTTAAGCACCATGGAAAGGTGCTGTCAGTCTGCGCATGTAGTTGATTAATCTGAGCCTAGCTCACACCATGCAGTTACCTTTGTTCCTACCTAGGACCAATAAGTGTGCTGCAGCTCATCGGCTTGCCTTTCAGATACTTTTACTGACGGTAAGATGTAAAGCACTATCCTTGCTATTTTGCCGCAAAATGCATGCGGAAAACGTGAGAATAAATTTTCTGCTGCCAGAGACTTGAGCGTGAGCGCATATCTTGAGTCCTGCTGTATTATCTTGAGTGGGCTCTTAGCACCACGGTAGACGCGACAGTTGCTGAGTGTTGGTGCAACCTGTGTACCCTTGACGTAGGGCGAGTGATAAGGCGATGCAGCGGCCGTCCAACGTAAATGCCTGTAGATTGTCAATTATTTCCATCAGGATAGGAAAGACGACTAGCGCGCCCAGGGTTGCAATTCCGTGTCCTGTACGACGGTCCGGAAATTCAGTTGTGTTGGATTTGTCGAAGGACTGGTGATGTGTGGAATTCGGGGTTTCAATTTGGAAAGATCGCCGGTTGGGGCCGGCGAGCTCGCTTGGCGCAGAAAGGTACAACAGTTCACATGACTGGTAAGGCATGGCATTCACGATGTGGACTGTTCACCCTTCCATCCCCCCGCTGCTATGAGAAAAAATTTAGTGCCAACGCTTCGTAATGGCACTTGTGATGCCTACTAAAAAACACGTATCTCCTATTCAGAAGGGTCACCATCGCACCCAATGTTGAAACTAAGACTCATGCCAAAACAGCGAAATCTACTCGATAGCCACCTCTTCCGTCGTCGTAGACCGAGCTGCTTACAAGGGACATAGGGCGCAAATATTTAGTTCATTCCAGCCATCGGTGTGTTCATCTCCGGCCCTCTGCGCAAAAGGGAGGAAGCCTTCGGCGCCTGCAGTTGGGGATCGGCAGCGTCGGCAACGCTAAGACGCGGATGAAAATGGCGCAAGCCGTCGCGATTGCATGCATGGCCTGTGTTTATGCAGGCCAGCCACGTCGGCTGGGTTAAATAATGGGTGCACCGCAGGCAATTCACATCATGAGAGAAAGAGGGGACAATTAGAGCGCAATAAGCTAAAATAGAGGGTATCATCATATTTTGTGCAGGCCCGCGCAGGAAGGGCTTTGGCAGTATCCAGTATCCAATTCCATCGCCTCGCCTTGGTCGAAAGCCCCGCCTCCGACTCTTGTCAAAGTGATGCCGGACCTGGGTCTCAGTTGGGCAGCTGCTCCCATCCCAATTAAAGCCCAAATTTTCCCTGTCTCTGCGTCCTCCCCAGCGTCAGGGTCCCTAGTTGTATCAATAAAAGCAAAACCTGCCAAATAAAATCTCCAGCTCCTTGTGTACGCCAGCCAATAACACCCCTAGCTCCATAAGCTTTTAGAATCTGGAAAATGATGGTTTCCAGCCCAATTCCTCCTTCTCATCATAAGCTTCGAGGGCGCTGAGAAAGTAGTGGCGGGCATCTCGCCAGCTAGTCCAGGGACCGACTGAGTTCGCATATCCCATCTCCTCCAAGACTTCATGACCTTTGTGGGCAAGTGTCCAGTAGCGATCTCTACTCTGTGCATTTTTCACCATTTTTTCCAATAGCTCTCGGGGCGCTTCTTTTAGGACGCTGACATGATCGATATAGCTTCGATTTAATTGTTCCGTGGCCAATGCGTGTAACTGGGCTGCAAGAGTGTGGAGAACATAGTAAGGCTCAGAATTCCTCACCACAAACTCAAGCAGGCCAAGTGTACTCTCCCAGCTGTTAACTCGATCGCTCGGACGGTTCTCCTTCTTGACCGAGAAGGCTGAATAGTAGGCCAAGAGACACTCAATGCCGGTACAGAGTCCTCGTTGCTTCTCGTCATTCAAGACGTGTTTGCGAGCTTCAACATCCTTCGTCTTTAATTCCGTGTCCATCTTACGTTTCAGTGAAAGGGCTTCGGCAATATACCTTGTAGCATCGGGCCGGTCTTGGTGTTTTTCGTGGCTGGTGCTAGTATTGATAGTGCGTTTATCGCGGGAGGCGGGGGTCGTGACACCGGGAGTATGAGCATGAGTACTGTCGGTGGATGAGGCCTTGCCCATTTTGCTGGCTCTTTTGGAATGTGATTTTTGGGGAGTGAGATGATGAGAGATTTTTGGGGGTGCAGGAGATTTAAATGGGGGATCGAGTATAGCCTGGGACTTGGCCGCTTCGGCCAGGTGCGTTCTAGCGCGCTTAGCTGGGGGCGAAGCACATGGAGGTACGTCAGCGGGTCGCTTTTTGAGCGTACCCGGCAGGGCGGATGAGGAAGGAACATTCTTTTTGGCTTTTAAACGGGACACACCCTGATCCACAACTCTGCTTTTAGACTTGAGCGCTTCGACGCGTTCGGCTTCGAGCTCCTGAAATCTTGCCGACGGTACCTTGGGCGTCATACGTAGGATACGCTCAATATCTTTTGCCCGACGCTTCTTGTATTTGATGCGCACGAGGAACTTTTTTTTCGTTTCTTTCGGAGGCGTGGGCTTGGGAGGAAGCTCATTCTCCGGGACTGCAGGACGACTTTTGGAGATGGTTGTCTTCTTGGGTGGATGTCCGACCTTGGGAGACTTTCGCGCCACGATTGGCGTATCCAGCCGACTCAACGTTTCCACTCCAGGTCCACCTTTCAAATTAGACGTAGCCTTTTTTTGTAGACGCGCAAGCTCTCGCTCCACGATTGGCGGTAGATTAGGCGACAGCAAAGGGGGATGGACAAAGACGGGAGAAGAGGATCTGGAACGTGCACCATCATCTAACAATTCGGCTGGTATAGGCAGAGTCTTTTTCGGGGCTTTACTAGCCTGGGCATGATGCGGAGCGGAACTAGAGTTGCCGGTTGGCTGCTTCTTTTTTGGCTCCATGAGACTGGACGACGGCAAGTCCAGGTCAGACGGCTCGTAGAGGTCATCAGGTAAAGGCGATAGAAGAGGTGGGATGGGTGTCAATTTTCTGGGCGCATGACTGGTATTGACGGACCGGGAAGCGGAAGGAGGGGGAAGAGCAGCCTTTTGAGGACGCGGCGACGCAGACGAAGGTTTGGGAGAGAACTTTGCCGATGGTGCGGAAGAGACTATCTTCTCGGGAGCTCGCTCATACTTGGGTATCCTCTGATCTTTGAGTATAGGAGAAGCGGCCACTTCAATTCTGGACCGTTTGGCAGCGTGTAGAGAGCTTGAGCTGTAGTCAAGGGGTCGCTTTATGGGCCCGAGCCGGGTCGGATGGGATTTGAGGTCGCCACTAGAGCGTGGAGATAAGGGACGAGGGGGCAGTGGATGCTTGACAGCGGTTCTGATGGGCGGCTTCAGGGTTGATTTTTGGGAGGACATGTCTGTCTTGGAAGTGGCGATGCCGGAGACATTTCCATTGAAGCTTCGATTGCTCTTTGACGGCGGGGCGTACGACATTTTCTCGGCTATCCTGGACAGTGGTTAGTGCGGGAGGAGATGTGGCAAAGGATCTATCCTTACTCCCTGGCCTCGGCTTTGAAGCTCGCCAGTTGACGGCGCAAAAGGTCAGCTTCGCTCGAGCTACATTTAGGTTCGTCCGCACGGTCGGAGGCGAGACCACGACTCGTTGGTGCCAGCGACGCAGTGGTTAGGGCGCTCGGCTGACTGGTCGGCCTCGGGGGTCCATCTTTTTTCAGCTTCTTGTAGTCGGCAATAGAAATCTTTTTGGAGGGGAGTTTAGATTCCCTAGGCTGACTGGCGAGCGGACGGACATGGGCAGCAATTGCAGCTGGTGAACAGGCTTCGATTTCATGGTGCCAGTCGCCGAGAGAATGTGCCAAGCCACGATGTCCGTTGGATACCATGGTGAGGTATTGCAGGTGTCGTACTTCGTACGGCTGGAAGGGGGTTCCTCGATACTGATACGAGTCTATGAAGAAATGGGGAGTTGGGTCATCCACGAGGAGAAGGTGAGGCACCTGTCTTAGTTCAGCATCTGGCACAAGGAGGAGAGTGGACAACGGCGTGTACCAAGGGGAGAATTTTGGCCTTCAATACGGATATTTGGTGGTCGGCGAGGGCAAGGGAGTATGACTCCGTCGGTTTCACAGGGGCCGATGGCGGCGGGCCCATAGTGGCGCGGGATCAACTGAAGTTGCAGGTTAGAGAGCGCGATATCATTGCCAGCGAGCGGCGGATAAGAGGAAAGGTGCACACCTGCAATCAACTGGCTGTCGCTTGCGCGGCAGGTGGAGCGCAGTGCTAAGTTGCGAAGGGTCAGAGGGAGAATCGAGGGCAGCAACTGGACATGGCCACCGTGCTGCTGCCTCGGGATCACGGTGAGCGAATGGGTGTGACGCCTACAGCGACCTCGGTCGCAGGCGTGGCGCGCCTCTCCGGGTAGCAGGAGGATTGGTATGAAGAGAAACTTCACGACGCAGCGCGGCAAAGGCAGCAAAGTGTCGTGGATAGGTGGAAGGGATGCCGATCGACCCTCACACTTCCTTCTGGCGGGCACGCGCGCTCGGCTGCCGTAGCGTCACAGGGATTAGCTCAGCTGGGCGGCTGGTGTGGCTGGTCGTCGGCGCGGACACGATTGATTGGTAATAGTAATAGTTGCAGCAACAGTAACAATAAAAGTAGCAGCTATAGCAATAGCGATGGCGATGGCGATGTCGAAAAGATGGAGAGCCATTGAGAGCGCAGGCCCGCATGTTAAATGCAGTCTCCACAACTCCACTTACTGGCCGTGCGAGCTATGATCACGTAGGAACTTGAGCAGAGACGGGCTGAGGACGTGCCGTCCAATGGGTGTAGCCCGTCGTCCGGTGTCTCCTAGTCTCGCCTGCGACGGACTAACCGGAACAACATTGGCAGCTAGCCGCGTTGGGCTTAGCCCGTAATCGGAGTACTGGCTGCTGTGGCAAGACGTTTCTCGCTGAAGCTTGTGCCCGCCGGCACCGTATAACCGTCTCGCAATGGCATCACACATTTAGCTCGCACAGCCGCTGACCTGTGGCGGCTAAATAATCACACAATGCCGTGGCATACATTCGGACCTAAGCCAATCGTATCCGGCTCGATGGAGCCGGAGTCTTAGTCTATGTCCGTGCTCATCATTTTCGATTTTCCTGTGATACCGAGTAATAGAACACGTGCCAGTTGTTATTATTGAAGGAGTAACGTGACTACACTAGAATAAACTATGCATGTGCGTCACGAGATTTGGCTGACGTCTATCACAACAAGCCCTTGTTACAAAGGATGTATATGTCGCAATAGAAGGAGCTCCATGTTTGATGAAATAGGCCTCTATACTGGATAAACTTGAAGTTGCTACAGTCAAGCCGATTAAAGTCGGCAAATTTTTAAAATACTATGACCAGTCTAAGTTTTCTCTAATCCCTCTTTTGTTCACCTCTAGCAGCTATGTGAAAACGCCAAGACTCGGCGTATCAAATAGATTGGACATTAATCTAGTTCTCACTCGAATGACTGCCCGAGCTCCTGATTTTGAATATATCACGTGTAATTAGTCATGACCTCTAGCGATCACAAAGCTCTAACAACAATGTGATCCGGCAAGGCGGTTTGCTCTTTCCAAGTTCCATGCTACAACTTATCCCAGGAAACTCACCTATAGAGACCAACAATGATAACACCCTGCCTAGATTGGGAGGCGCGTGCTCAAGGTCTTTGTAAGCAAGACGTGGAAAAAGTTAGGGCCCAGGAAGCTCCTCCCCAAAAATACAATAGATGGTTAATCTATGAAGTGTGCAATATATGGTAGGCGGACTTTGCCATACACTGCCTTAATCTTAGATCTAGAGAGGGAAGAATCCCGAGTCAGGAAGTAGCAGGAACCAAGCCACCACGGCAGTAAGCACTGGCGTCTATCCGTCCAGACAATTTAGCATGGACTGCGGGTGCGAACTTCGGCTCAGCGCCCAAAGGACATTATATATCAAACAAACAATATGATCTGGTTGTCCCAACCGATAGCTCTTGTCACTCAGATTTACGGTGCCCGCTCGGTGACTATTCTCAACACCTGTCAGCGGTGTCCCCTACGAACCTCCAGCTCTCACTGTAGTGTCTGCAGAGCCGAGATTGAGTAACAAAGTCCTCACTTCGACGAGGATTCCAAATCGCTTTCGCGGTCTGTATCGTCTTCATCTCTCAACACATTCCCCCATCACCACTATCAAAAAGCTATCCACCATTAGATTAGATGGTAGGGTCGGAGCCCTTCTCATCACCAACCCTTGATCATGGAGTAGAAGCCATCCGATGAGTTTCCGGAGCGTACCCAGCACCCGATACGGCGATGGTGGATTGGATCAAGTCGGCCTCGATTGTTACAAAGAAGGGAGATATAGATGAATATGCGCACCTCATGTAGTCCCAGTGTCTAGGCCTCGCCTGGCTGGGCCTGCAGGTTTTTTGAGCCTTTTTTCCCGCGCACGCAGTCTCCATTGCTACCATTTTTTATATTTTATATTTTATATTTTTGGGTAGAAGGTTCCGTGAAAAAGGTGGCCGAATCCCACGGGTAAATACTGAGCTGAATGGCTATTCATCAAGGGGAATATATCGATGATCTTTCAAGTAACAAGAGGATAGGAGCACTGTACAAGGTGTGGCCTGGGTCAGAGAGGAGCCCAAGGTGCTAGATAGTCATAGACTCAAGTAGTAAAATAAACACACACACATACGGTGCCCGCTCGGGTCATGGGGACTCCGACCCGTGTGATGGACACTTCTAGCACGAAATGCGCACCATTATTGCAGCTACAGAGAAATAAAATCTCCGACACGTTTTATAATTTAGACATATAGTATTAGAGAGGAAAAGAACAGTAATAATAGTTTTGTGAGGGTCATCCAGAATCATGTTCCTTGTGATGTTGACTAGCCCTAATTAGGTTAGATAGTATTGACCCGTACAAGTGAGATCGCTTGAACGGGCTGGCTAGAATAGAAGAAAAGAACGAATCACGATTTATCTACCACGTTGCAACGTAGTACTTTTGGTTTACACGATACTTTGCCGTATCAACAAATATAACTATTCAAATATAGTTTGCCGTTCTAGAGGCTCTCAGGAAATCTCGAACAAGTCCTCGCATCTTCAAGGTATCTTCAAAGGGGCCACCAACACCGCTAGATTGTTATGATTTTCGTTCATGATGACACAACTTACAATATTGTATGGACGAGGTTTTAGATCAACACAAGCGCTGTGCTTACACGATTGATAAAAGCCGCGTAATGGTTGTAGGGATTGGTTGAGTATCAGGGTGTTGATAAATAATTGGAGTGCACGGACTATATCTATTTGTATGTAGACTAGTGGTCAGGCACACCTGGTAAAATAGAGTAATTCATCCTAGGTCGTCTAATGATCCACCGTACTTTAGCAGATCCCAATCCATCCTAGAGTCTACAACGTGGTTCTTACACATTGAATCATCGAATATGAAGGCTGAACACCTGTCAGTGGTGTCCTCTACGAACCTGGGGGTGAAAAATTATGCCAGAGCCGAGATCCAGTCACGAAAAGGGGTGGGACGAATTTATTTGACAGATTTTCGGCTTGAAGGAGTTGTACTCGGTTTTTTTTGGTCGAAATATCAGTCGGCAGAGATTTCACAACCGCAAGAAAATCGAACAAAAACTCATCACCACCAACATACGATTCACAAATGGGCCTAGGTCTGTCTGGGGGTCATTTTCAAATGTCCGATATCTCTCTAACTCCTTATATATTTGCGACGAAGCATTTCTCAGTCGATCTCACACCTGCGACCCACCTCCATACTCCTCACATCACCTATCTACACACGCCCTAATGAAGATAGTCATGATGGAAACAGGACGTGTAAAAAGGAGGAACAAAAGGGAAGATGCACCAAGGGGATGACACAAATACTCAATTACGAAAACAACCCAACGGTACGATATGAAGGTGCAAGGCTAGAGCAACGAGGAGATCTTGGACGGCATTTATGTAAGGGAGACGTCTCAAATAGGTAATATCACTGGGTAGGAGTTATGATATACAGGTAGCTCGAATAAGTAAGTAGTCTCCAACAGGTAATTAAGATACAAGAACGTCGTATGCCCAATCCTACCAGCAGTAAAGCGACTAGTTATACTCTAGGTAAAAGTGAACTGGAGCTTCCTCCCAACTCATACAATAGCTCAACGTTACATGAGATAAACCTTGAACTAAACCTATGTGGTAACCAACCCATTACATGGCCCACCAACACATATGCTATACGCTAATACTAGTATTTGGCAGGGGATGATGTTGATCCAGATGTATTCCCTGACAATTTATATTTCGGAGTCAATGAGGATGACAAGGGCTCGGGCGCGTGGTGGCCGAGTTTCACGGATCCGTAAATAGAAATTTAATACTAATATTAATTCGTGATAAGATGAAGGGGTAGTTAATTAAAACCATCAATTTAATAATAGCTTCCCCTATACAATTAGTCATGTAAAATGTCATGTAAGGTTATACAAGGGAGTCATGAAGAGAAGGACAAGAACACAGCCATCAATGCGAAGATATTGGCAAGAATTGATTACGATTAATTCCGGCTGGCAAATGCTTCTACTCTTGTATATAATAGTTCAGCGTGAGAGAGATTTACTCCTCACGCAACGTCTTCTTTATTTACCCTTTACAATACATTTGTTCACCCATCTCTTCTTCGGGAAGACCATATATCCATTGCCCAGTTCTTCATCAGCAAGACCCACGTGTAACATCTACTGCAACTAGTTGCCCATTCATCTCTTCCTAGAGAAGACCTGTCATCCCTTTGTCCCATTTATAATCTTCACTTACCACCTAGATCTTCACTAGGCTATACAACGCACCCCGTGGAACACCGTCAAACCCTCATCCCTGAGACCGAGGCTGAGGAAGAAATTGCGCAACGGCGGGTTTACAGCGGGTTTCTGGACGGTTAGGCTTGGTATGATTCAACACATAGGTGAAGTCTGAGGTGGTCCGGTCGTTTAAGTGAGACGAGGTATATCTGTACTTCACGGTAGTTAACCTGATCCGGCCCGACCCCACTCGTGCTTAAGCTCCAGCAGGAGTACGATAGGTGTCATGTACCTAGCACGTTAATGAACAAAACAAAACACATTGAATCACAACTGTCTCCAAGTCTCACGTAAGAACATTATCAGTGCTCATCATTTAGAGCACACATGGATAATGGAAGTGAAGTTTTTGACAGAAATCGGTCCCAGATTTTATTTCGCGCTTGCACTGTTAAGTTGCTAAGGATATGGTATTGAGACATGGAGTTGGACTAGGATACTGTCGGATACTCGGGTGGTATTTATATCACACGCTTTCTGTAGCAGCAATAAGAATTGGTGGGTAACATCTATCTTGATTCTTCCCTCTCTAACCAAAGGAAACACGTATACACTGCAGGTGTCCCTCTCCCCTGACGCCATTCCTAAAAAGGTAACTCATTACTTATCAACATGATTAGTCATCATTTATAAAATAAAACATGAAAGGTCAATATTTGATTAGATCACTCGTTAGTCATTCACGGAGGTCTGGCGTTTGTTTTTTTTTTTTTGCATCAGATTTTAGTTGCGTATGCAGCTACTTAGCTATGACACAATATCAAAGAAAAGTATAGAAAAGATGACTCAATTACAGCTAGAGCACTCATGCCTCAGATTTCATTTGCAAGTACCACTGCGAAGTTATGGCGGCTTTTTCTTCACCCCAAGTCAACCCTCGTCCGTGAATACCCAGCCAGGGGAACGTCTCAAAAACCCTGAGCTATCCAGACATGCCTCCGTCATCCATCAACTTTTCTCCGCGCGAAATGTGGTCTGAGATGTCTCCTTCCCAAGTGGAGTAGGTGCCCAGGCTACTCAAACGATACCGGAGAACACCACCAGGCGGCAGACCACTACACCTTCCATCGTTTGCTTGTTTTTATAGTGTGAGCTGCACTCTCGCAAGCGAAGTCTTGGCGCGCACAAAGCCCGATTCGATATACTCCTTGCCAAAATTCGGAATATCATGCCCTTCGAGGTTATATTCTTCCTTTGCATCATCTGATAAACATGTCCTGATCCCTCTCACATCCATCTCAAAGAACTGTCTCCCAGATTTGTGCGCCACGCTTTGCTTCCTCCGTCAGGTATAACTATCGGCGTGGGCGTGTATTTGGTGACCGGCTGAGGCCAAAGAAGGTCGAAGAGTGGTGTGGTCATTGGAATGAGGATGTACTTGGTCGTACTTGTAGGCTTGATGAGACTTAGGTAGGAGTCAAACTCGTTGGGAGAGAAAAACGACGTGGAGGAGTAAGTTGAATTATTGCCTCGTGGGCCAACTTCTTCGATATTGCGAAATTTGACTGAACTTGGCTCTGGGAGAATATTTCACTCCCAGGTTCGTAGAGGATAGCGCGTGCAGGTGTTCAGTCTTGCCCTCCGATGTATGAGATAACTGAGGTGCGGATGTATGAGTTCCTTACTATTGTTGTTGTACTAGTTAGGGTTGAATTGTCTATATACAAAAAGGATTTCTCCATCTACAAGTGGGCCAGATCGCTTGGATCTGACTAGCGGCTTTCGCCATCCTCTTCCTTCTCCCCCGCATGGCATCACGTGCTATACAACCACTGCTCACCATGAGGTCCGAGGATGAAAAGCGTTAGATTACAACACTAGAGAGAGGTCATTTGAAGCCATGATGAAAAGGCCAGAAGATGTGGCTCGAATCACACAGTGGATACTAAGCAAAGGGTGGATAAAACAGTTTCGACTGGCAGGGGAAGTCGAGGTGGTAATGTCGGATGTAATAATACGATCTGGAAAGGGAGAGGGCGGAATCCACACGGGCTGAACAGTGTACACTGCACTTCCTCAAGGTAAACTAAATAAATGAATAGGAATATAAACAGACAGGATCAGGGGGCTCTCACCAAATTGCTTTCCTCCTTTGTAAAAAATAAAGATAGTCACCTGCATGGACCCATGGGGTATCTGATGGGGTTAAATGAAATCAAATTCAAAACGAGACGTAATATTGTTGGTAATAACTAAGTGAACAATAACGATCATTATATATACAATCTTGTAAAGAAACTTCTTTCGCGAACAAGTATCCACACGCAGCTAGGTTAATAGCTGGTATGATTTATACTCTTAATTCCACTGTCGCATAAAAATTTAACATTTTCTTGTTGCAACGATCGTTAGGCCAGGCACTCCATGTACAAGGGGGGAGTTAAGCGCTCTCCAGCGTCACTTTGCAGCCGCTCCTATTCTCCCACTCGCCAAGCATCACTAGGCGTGCTGATCTGTGCGAGAGGATTGAAGTGGCAGGGCTGGGGTTGCGCCTTCACCATGAGCCCAACCCTCGCGAATTCTGCTCGTCGACTTAAACACGCGTGCCGACCGTTGCGCAGACGTGAGGAACAATGCGAGGACTATGCCGACCGCTTCTCATGACGTTTGCACGGATGGGAGCATCTCGGGCGGCCGATGCGGCCACGACACCATCACCTTGTGTCTTTCCCTGCCCGAGAGGTCGTTCCAACGCAAGCGGATATTCTCCCTTGCCACGCAAGGCGCTCCTCCTGAAGCTCGTCTACGGCCTGAGGCAACGGTGTTGGGCGAATGGACACGTCTCACGAGTCATCAGGTAGAAACGAGGTGTTGGGACTAGAAAGCTGCATACAGTGTATATATATATGTATGATTCGTTAAGGGTGCCCCGCCGCAGATCCAGACACATGAGAGGTGGAGATAGACGTGAGAGATCACTAGTGAGGGAGGCGCGAGATCATCTCGCACCTACATGCTACGGAGGGGGGCCCAGCGTTTCTGGCCTGCCTATTCCTGCCATCATCAGGGCCGGTGCTAGGGAAGACATTCGTGGGATTCGCAGAGGAATTCCGAGGGCCACGAGGCCGGGTAGGCGTCGTCATCGTAGAGGGTGAGCATGTCGGCCTCAGCCTCGATATTGGGGCGGGGCGGGGCGGCGGCGTATGGGAATGGCGGTGGAGCGGCGACGAGGGCGTCTTTGTCGGGACGGGGAAATGGCGGCTGGTGGCTGGTATAGGCGCTGGTCAGGTCAAAGGAAGTGGTGGAGGCGGGCGTGTGCAGGTCGGGACTCTGGTCGGCCTGGGACCAGGCGCAGAGATCGGGTTTCGCGCGACTCGCGTCGGGGTAGAGGTCGCAGTAGGGCCAAAAGGGCTCGGTGGGGGGTGAGGGGCAGTGCTCAAAGACCAGCGGCGCGTCGGCGGCGAGGTCCGGAGGTGGTCGCAGCATGAGCAGCTCGTCGCAGGGGAAACGGGGCAGGAGCGGCACGTTGTTGGTGGGTGGGCGGCGCGTCGGTTGGGCATCGGCGGCCGGCCACGGCGGCAGGCGGTCGTGGGTGTAGGTCGGTTGATGGACGTCGCACGACACTTCCTCGGCATCAAGAGCATTGCTTGGCACCAGCGACGGCTCGGAGGGGCGAGATGAGCCGGTATTGTCGGCCCTACTGCGCTTCGTTTTGGGCCCGGGCTTCTTCCAGAGCGCTCTCGGCTTACCGCGCTTGGGACGCGTCGAGGTGGCGCCATCCGTGTCGGCGGGCGTCGACGACTGCTGGCCGGTCGGAGCCGGGCTGTAGGCCTCTTCGGGTATAACTTTTCGCGCCTGGTATGGGTTAGCAGTGGGCCCGGGAAGGAGCAGACGGGGCTCACGTAGCCGCGTTCCTTGATGGTGCGTGGAATCTTGGTAAAGGCGCCGCCGCGGGTGAGCACCTTGCGATAGTTGCCGGAGCCGCGGATGAAGCCAGAGTCGCTGAGGCTCTGCGGCGCGTTGGGGTAGTTCTCGGTCCAGCGCAGGATGCGCGTGCCGCTGGCTTGGTCGGAGGCGAGGTCGCGCACGTAGCCGCGGATGTCGGGATCGGGCTGGATGCCGTTGCCCATAGCGGGGGGGATCATGTGACCTTCCATGACGAGCACGTCGCGCATCTTGTTAAGCATCTGGACGGCCGAGGGTCCGCTGCAGCCCCTGCACACACAAACGACGATCAATCAGCCAGCCAGCCCCGCATGAAACGGCACGGATCAAACCCACGGCTCGAGCCTATGCACCACCTCGTCCCACGGAATGCGCACCTTGGCGCGGAAACACTCGTACTGGATGTTGAGCAGCAGCTTCTCCATCATGCGCGGCCCTGCCACGCGTTAGCCGGACGGCGCCGCACGGCCGGGGGGCAAACCGACGATGCCAGAGCACGAGCTTGCGACCCTTGCAGCGGCCGTTGGGGTCGACGGGCCCGCCGACATACTTCTTGCGCGACTTTTCCATCGAGTTGAACGACGTCGGGATGCTTGGGTGGTGCGGGCCGACGGTGCGCGCAAGATCCTTGGAATACTCGCTACGCTGGGCCCAGAGCAGGTCGTCGTGCGCCTCACCATGCCAAGAGTCGGAGGCGTCGTCTTCTGCGTCGTTTGTCTCGTCGCCCTCATCATCGTCGTTGTCGTCGTCGCGCTGCGCCGTCTCCCGCGCGGCGCGCAGCGCTCTCCCTGCAGCCATTCAGCGGGGCGGTCGCGCCGGCCGCGATGTGTCAACTTACGGGTAAGGGGCTTGGCAATCTTGTCGCGCGCGAGTCGGCAGCTTCGACCGGCCGGCGACGAGAGGCCCGATGCGTCTGAGCGTGAAGGGCGGAGGGGGCGGCGTGGCGACTGTCGCCTTTGGGCCGGCGATTCGAGGTCGGCCATGGCCGGATCTGGGGAGCGAGAACTAGTCACCGTCTGCACATTAGCGGGGGCGTACGCGTTTCCGCTCGCACCAAACGACGTACCGAGGGAGAAGTAGCTGAACGCGTGGCGGTCGGCGTCATGTAGGGTAGAGCAGGATATTCAGCCATGTCCAGTGCCGTGCGACGGCCCGACACCTATAAGTATGTAGCGGGCGGCGAGAAGAGTGTTTCAGCAGCGCCGTCCAGCTCCTGCAGCTTCCTTTGAGCTCCTCGTCGTGGTGAATTCCTCGTCTTACCGGGGCCGTGGTGGGGCCACTGCGGCCGCGCCGACCAGACTGGCCGATGCTCGGTGCCGCCCATTCACCACTAGTCTCTCCGTCGCTTGCATCGGTGCCGTGCCGTGCCACGCCGCCTCTGCCAATCAGACATGAGCGGTAGCAAGCTCGAACGACGCGGAAGACCATGGACCATTCGGTCACATGACGTATGGCTAGCATCCCCTAAATGCGGCAAGGGTCGGGCGGTGGACATCTGCCCACTGCCAAATCTTCGGAATTGCCCCACCAACAAAGGACAGGCGCCAAACACCCCTTTGCCACTACGCCGAAGGCAGATGTTTAGCCTCGAACGTGCTTTGATATTTGCATGCAGATGGTTGTCCGAAGCACAGTACAAAGTACGGAGACGACCAATGACCTCGACAGGAGCCGAGAAAGGCAGTGGGTGAATGTCCCGAGGCACTCACAAGTCCGCAGCACGTAGAGAGATCGCTCTGCCTTTGAATTTGATCTGGACAGTCGTAGGAGAAAAGCCCACATACGCCAGTCTTTGCCATAGATCGGCTACTGGCCATAATTTCGTTGGCTGGAGGGGGGAGTTGAAGGACAAAGAGCTCCTCCAAGCCCGCAATCAAATGAGGACCGGTGAGGGGTGGTTTGAGAAGATATACGACTAGTATAGGTATCCTTGCCTACCGGCAGAATGGACAACAAGAGAATGAACGAGACCATTCAACATCCGCGAGCGCGCAGAACACTGAATTTAGACTCAAAAGCAGCCATCTCATCACCTTGGAAACCCCACACATTTGCACCCGCTGACCCTCTATAGCGAAAGTAGCTAGGTCACCGTCTGCCTTGAGCATTATTCTCTTGGCCAGCTTTGAAACTCCGGTACTACACCTCCACGATACAGATTGCTCTTGAAATTATTTCGCTCTGTGCCGAGACGTCCGGACTCGCATCTCTTGCCAGACTGGACACGTCTATTCCTGCTCTTGCCTTGGTATCCTATGCTGGCCGCACCAAGCAATACCCTCGCACCACCCCTCCGCGCTCACTCGTCGTCGTATCGCTCATAGCACGCCTAGCGATGCGGGCTGGCTCTCACAATCGTTAGACTCGCTGTCGATATCCTACGCCTGCACGGCGAAGTTGAATTTACTTCCTAGTCATGCCGCAGACAAATCTCTTCTTTTTCCATGCAGGCCAGGGAGCGTCACCTCGCCGCAAGTGATGGCTCCTGCTCTTCGCCCTCAGTCGGCATGGGATGTTCGCCGTGAGACGAGAATGTAAAGTAGAGGTGTGCATGCTGCTAGTCTGATGTCTCGGAAAGTTTAGCTTTATCTTTGGGTCAGTGATTCGACCAACAGCCCGAGTCGTCTGAGATGAAGTGTCCGACTGGCCGTCTGGGTAATTGTTTGATGGGAAGCCCGCATACACGACGAACCAACAGAACTGCTGTCTAGGCCAAGTCGCGCTGATTGTGTGAGTTGTAAGGCAGCCGTCCTTTCGCCTCCTGCTATTTTCCATCACACGCATCTTTCTAGTCGTGGTGCATGACCAGTGCTTTCGACACGCCTAATCCGCTCTCATCCGCAAATCCCTCCATGCCTATGCGAAGAGAGGCTCATGCCTCTCTCACTCCCGCACACCAACACCGCGAGAACGGCACAGCATTCCTGCACTCGAGCCACGCTTCCGCTGTCTGAAGCAACCTCTGTGTCTGAACTGTCCAGAATCCGGCATTAGGCTTCACGCTGGGGGGGAGAACGCTCGTGTCAGTGGTGACTCTGGACATGCAGATGGATATCGTGTTTGTTTACACTTATCCTCCTTGAAGCGCTGTTCCGAAGCTAGCAGCCGCCAAACTATGCAGAGGGACGAACGGCTTGGTTCCTGCTACTCCCTGACTCGGCTTGCCGGACTCCACATATCCAAGGTCAAGGTGATGTGTGGCCAGGCTCGCACACCATGTATACCACGCCTCGTAGACTTGCCATCTATTCCATTTGCGGTGCTGCGCTTCCTCGGCCCCGATTCCTTTTCATCTTCTGCTTCGTGACATTTCTAGCACGCGTGTCCCAATCTAGGCCGAGTGCTATTGTTATTGGGCTCTGTAGACGGACCGACGTCGGGAACACGACGTTCAACTACATCTAGCCGTCCGTGACCCATTAGTAGAACGTGCATCGCGTCGCCAAATCAACCAAGAGTGCAGAGTGAGTCCTTGATTCTCCGACCTAAGCAACACGGTGGCGGGCACTTCAATGAATAGGCTCGCCGGCCAACATGGAATCCCCACTTCTACCAGCCCTGTATCCATCGTCAGGGCTACGACACGCTAATTACGGCTGGCAAGGAGATGGGGCCTGGTCTTTGAATTACATGGATAGTAAGTGTAGAATTAAGCGAGTAGCTGTGAAGATGAAACGGCGCTGTATGAGGCCAAGCCTGCGTGGTTAACCTAACCAACTCCGTGTCCGTGGGCTACATGCCCGGCCACTCAACAGTCAGCACCAAACTATCCATTCTAGGCGTCTGCCTCGCAGATGTGAAGGCCACGCCATGCGTTGTTTGGTCGGGTCAGCGGGACAAGGGCTTGGTGGGATTCAATGTTGCTGGGAGCGATAGATTGGCGTGTTGGCGAGATTTGGGTCACTGTTCATGGGCCAGCTTCTTCGGTGTTGCGAGAGCCGGCCACCACGCCGACCGCTGCAGCTTTAGCGGCGACAAGATGGCGGGACTGCTTGGCGGTCCCAGGCAAGCCGGGGGTGGGCGAGAGGCCTTCCATTTGGCAACTCGTTGTTCCCCGTGGAATCATCTGGGTCCGTGTGCCCACCATGAACTACATCACTACTCAAAAGGCACTAGCTCCCCTCCTTCCTTGGCCGGCAGGCATGCAATCAGCGACGAGCGTCAGTCGGGCCATGTCATGGCTCGATAGAATAAGAAGCTTTATGGGCGGCGACTCGCAACCGGCGCACCCTGGCTCGCGCGAACCGTCCCTCACAACTCCGTAGAGCGGGCGCCGTGGCCCTCTGCAGACATCGATGCCACGGACCGATGCGTGAACGACGCTTGCGGAGAATTGTGCTTGGTGAATCCTGGGCCCGAGTAGCTTGGTCTCTCACGGCTATTCAGCTCATGCCTCTTGCGGGCTAGTGCTATGCAGGCACTAGAGCCTTAATTTCCTACCGGCGTGCCAGGTCCCCGACTTGCACATGAATGAGGGGCTATCTGCGCACATTCCCCCGTCTAGCCGAGAAGGGAAGGGTAGTGGGCCGGCTGGAGCCAATGCGTGTCTGTCAGAATCCACGGTGAAACAGCGATCCTTAGCGTAATGCCCTTGATCCAGTTTGAACGTCAACGTCTCCGGCCATGCCACGATATTCCAGAGGAAACCTGCCCCCTCAATTCCCTGTGCGTTTGTGCGTGGAGAGTGCGAAGTGGCTTGCGGTAGGCAAGGAACTCGAAGCACGTCTGTAGTTAGCATCACGGAATGCCGGTAGAGTTCGTTTAGTCGGGTGTAAGATGTTCGTTATCCTCTCTATTCCGAACAGGGAACCCCCCAATGTTACGGGCGCCACCACACGATTACATAATGTGACACCGACTAATCTTCTTAACGCAGAGTCCCTTGGCCTGGACACACACGCCGACGCTGGCTGTCCAGTGTATCGCGAGCGTCCTGGCTTCGTTTGATTAGCTTCGTTGCATTGTCCTAGTGAGTCTATGATGATGATGATGATGATGATGATGCAAAGACATGTAGGTCCTTTCTATCTGTAGCCCGGTACTTTCGGAGATAAGAAGCTAGAGAGACCATGTTATGGGCGAGTCGAACTCGGGCTTTCCCGCCGCCAGACGGCCCCTCTATTTGCCCTTAATGTCTGATTACCTATTTATCACATGACAGCCTGAGGCTCCAATCTTGTAGTCTCATTATTCTCGTACACATAAATCACATCTCCCGGAAAGAGACGGAGAGATATGCCGGAATATACCCTCTCATGACAACCACATTGCAGTGTAACCATCACTACAAAAGTGTATTCCGACACCTCGGTTCGTAGCATATGATTGGACATGACGAGGGCTTCTCAACTGCCATTTTAGCCGTTGATGCCGCAGTATATGCCCACTTCCCGTCTGGGTCGTCGTAGGCACCATCCGAGGCGTATCTTCAGGGGAGATGCCTCAGCTAAAGTTGAAAGGTGATCCACATTCTTCGCCCCGCAAACCCAACGCCTATGGCTAGCCGGCAAAGACGATATTCAATGCCTCCGAGGAGGGAGATTCGGGAATGTACACTTGGGCTGGAACAGCTAAGATAGTTTGTGGAGAGAAATCTTCACTAATGTGCAGAAGTGAAGTTCTAGGATAATTGTTATCTTACAGATTGGGGAAAGCTTGTCCCTTATGCCCTATCTTGTTCGCTTGTAGACCGATCACGTTACCAGTATGCAGCGCACCAAAGTGTGCTCCCAGCTGAGCAGCCATGCCATTTATCCTATATCAACAACCCATCTCTCATACTGCACATATTCCTACTT